CATGCTGAAGCAAGATCTGTCATCGGCTGTGTCCATCGGACACAGCTGATGTCCGATCTGTGTACAAGCCTTGTTGCTGGTACCATGTGACCACTCACAATAAATCACATGATAATTGTAAGCAAATGGTTGGCTTTGTTTCATGCCAACCATTGTATACAATTGTTTTGCTAGCTGTGATTGGTCACAGTGATCAAATGGTACAGACTGGGCCAATTACAGCCCATCTATGTCATGTGATTAGCTGTGGCCAATCACAGCTAATCACAACAGAAAGCACTGAATGAATTGATTTCATTCAGTTAAATGCTTGAAATCCACTGCTATAGGCAAACATAATATGTAAAAAAAAAATACTGATCACTGCCCCAGGGTAGTACAGTGTTACTATGGTCACAGTATTTTATAAAAAAAAATGTAATAAACAATACAAAAAATGGAAAAAAAAAAATGTATTTTTATTATTTTTTTTTCATATTGTCACTAGTCAGTGTCCCTGATCACCACCACACCAGTTATATAATGTTGTACTGCACTGGTGACAGTATATAGAAGAAAATAAATTTGTGAATTTTTTTTTTTAATTTATTTTCCAAAAAAATTCTGATAAAAAAACATTTTACACTTACTAAACACCTCAGACTGTCTACTTTCCAAAAATCGGTATTTTGGGGGATATCTGTACGGTCCTGAGATTTTGGCTCAAGAAATGAGACAGGTCGTCAGTACATCAGGATTGATCGAATTTCAGATATATACCATAGTTTGAGGACATAGTTTGATAACCTTCCTACAGACTACATAATATACACTAATTTGGGTTACTTTCACCAAAGAAATTTAGCAGTATACATTTTGGCCTAAATTTATGAAAAACATTTATTTGAAAAATTTTATAACAGAAACAAAGAAAAACAAGATTTTTTTTCCAAAATTTTTGGTCTTTTTTTGTTTATTTAACAAAAAATAAAAACCCCGGTGGTTATTAAATACCACTAAAAGAAAGCTCTAGTTGTGTAAACAAAATGATAAAAATGTATGGAAAATGAAAATAAAGAAAAAAAAAAACACTAAAAGTAAGCTCTAGTTGTGTAAACAAAATGCTAAAAATTTATGCAAAATAAAAAAAATTTTTTTTGCTCAAAAAAAGTCCAAAAACGACGGTTTGCAGTCTTTTACCACGTTTATCACATTTTGCGGCGTTTTTCAGCGTTAAAACATTTTTACAGCTAAAAAACTCCTCTAGAAACCCATTAGTCCGGGGCTTTTTTTTGCAGCCAAAAAACGTTGATTACAGTCTATGTGTGCATGGAAACATAGGATAACATGCTGGGGGGTTTACTAGCTGTAGAAAAAAAAAAATCAAAAGCCAAAAACAGCTGCTGAAAAACATCCAGTGTGCATGAGGACTTAGGCCGGTCATACATGGGTCGATTTTCGAACGATTTTGCATTTGAAAATAAGACCTAAGAAAAATTGGTCGATTTTCGCTCTGTTATGGAGGCAATGGCACAGGTCGATTTTCGTGGTTCCTCCCCATTTCGTTTATCGAGCATGCTGGAACATTTGTGAAAAAAAAAACGATTTTCAAAATCATTGGTGGCACCATTGGTACAGAACTAACGTTGTTTTTCGATTTTCGACCCATATATGGCCTGTTTTAGTCCTCAAGCACACTTGACGTTTTGATAACGCTGGTATCATTAGCTGTGTAAAGTCACGTTAAAAAATGTGAGTTTTTTAGCGTTTTTGCATTAGCATTTAGCGGCATTTTGCCGCGTGTAGCTGCGTTTTTCCGTGTTTGCATTTTTTTTTACCAAAAAAAATGTTTTTGGGTCAAAAAAGTCCAAAAACGCTGGTTTGCTGTGTTTTAACATGTGTTGCCGCATTGTTTCAGCGTTAGAGCATTTTTACAGCTAAAAAACTCTAGAAACCCTCTAGTCCTGGGTTTTTTTTCCAGCCAAAATACGTTGAGTCTGTGCGCATGGACACATAGGATAACATGAGGGGGGATTTATTGCTGTAGAAAAAAACATTAAAAGCCAAAAACAGCCGCTGTAAAAATGTCAAGTGTGCATAAGGACTTAGGTCCGGTCATAAATGGATCGATGTTTGAACGATTTTGCGTTTGAAAATCGGACCTAAGAATAACCGGCTGATATTCGCTCTGTTAGTGGGGCAATGGCACCAGCTGATTTTCGTGGTTCCTCCCATTTCGTTTGGCATGCTGGAAAATTCGTGAAAAACGACTGATTTTCAAAATCATTGGTGGCACCATCAGATTAGAGAACAAACGATGTTTTAGATTTTCGATCGAAAAATAGTTCAGAATTCGACCCATATATGGCCTGCTTTAGTCCTCAAGCACACTTGACGTTTTGATAATGCTGGTAACATTAGCTGTGTAAAATTGTGTTAAAAACGTGAGTTTTTCAGTCTTTCTTAGCATTAGAGTTTTGCTGCGTTTGCACTTTTTAGTATTTTGTTTTAAAAAAAAAAAATTTCTTTGGTCCAAAAAATGCCCCAAAACGCTGCGTTTTACTGCGTTTTTCAACATTAGAGCAAAAACGTCAAAAACCAAAAACAGCAGCTGTAAAAATGTCCAGTGTGCATGTGGACTTAGGCCGGTCATACATGGGTCGATTTTCAAACTATATTTCATTCGAAAATCGGACCTATTTTCAAATCATTGGTGACATCATCGGATTACAGAACGAACGTTGTTTTCGATTTTCGATTGAAAAATCGTTCAGAATTCGACCCTTAAATGGCCTGTTTTAGTCCTCAAGCACACTTGATGTTTTGATAACGCTGGTAACATTAGCTGTGTAAAGTCACATTAAAAACGTGAGTGTTTTAGCTTTTTTTAGCGTTTAGTGGCATTTTGACGCGTTTAGCTACGTATTCCCGTGTTTTTTTCCGCGTTTGCATTTTTTTTTACCAAAAAAAAACATTTTTTTTGGTGCAAAAAAAGTCTCAAAACGCCGGTTTGCAGAGTTTGACCGCATTTTTTTTCAGCATTACAGCGTTTTTACAGCTAAAAAACTCCTCTAGAAACTCACTAGTCCTGGGTTTTTCTCCCAGTCAATAAACACATAGGATAACATGCTGGGGAGTTTACTAACTGTAGAAAAAAACAGTCAAAAGCCAAAAACAGTTGCTGTAAAAATGTCCAGTGTGCATGAGGACTAATGCAGGGCATAGACGGGTCAAACATCGGCTGATTTTTCAGGAAAAAAAGAAAAATCGGTAGTTCGTTCTGCTGACGTTACCACCAACGATAAAAAAAAAACGGCCGACTAAGTCATAAAGTTCACCCCATAACTTCTGTGCCTTTGCAGGTCACTGCTCATGCGCGGATTTTTTATCGGTAAAACGATCGGTTGATTTGCCCATCATTGCCAGGAAAATCGGCTGTGAATTTTCCAACATGACCGATAAAAAATAGTGCATAAAACCCAAAAAACGGCCGACCAATTAACCCACTAACAGTGCGAAAATCGGCTGATTTTCGAACCATCTATGGCCGGCATAAGGCTGAATAAGAGCCAACCTTACGGAGCAGCAGCTGCAAAAGACACACAGTAATTCACAATAGGGTTAGCTAATATCCAGACTTGGGTGTCATTCATACATTCTAAATGACCATGGTGCGGCAAGTATACTGCAAATACCTGCATCTGGGTTCCCATGTGTTCCAATCATCGGCAGCTGCTCAACCAGTACACCTAGGTGATGGGCTGAAAAGAGCCAAGGCTGTCCACTGCTGTAAACATGTATCCGCACACCCAGTGGTTACCTGTATGTAGGGACACATGTCTGCCGTTGGACACAATCTCTCTGCATACAGGGTCAGACATTGGTCTAACAGCAGATGTGCAGATACATGTTAACTGTAATGGACAGCCTTGGCTCTTTTCAGCCTGCAGCTCAGGTGTACAGGCTGTGCAGCTGCTGATGATTGGAATACCTGTGATTGCTGCTGTAGATATTCACAGTATACATGCCGATACATGGCCATTTAGGACAAATGAATGAGACCCAAGACTGCATAATAGCCAACCTTACTGAGCAGCTGCCACTCAGGTGTACAGGCTGTGCAGCTGCCGATGATTGGAATACCTGTGATTCCTGCTGTAGATATTCACAGTAAACATGCCGATACATGGCCATTTGGGACAAATGAATGAGACCCAAGACTGCATAATAGCCAACCTTACTGAGTAGCTGCCACCCAGGTGTACAGGCTGTGCAGCTGCCGATGATTGGAATACCTGTGATTCCTGCTGTAGATATTCATGGTATACATGCCGATACATGGCCATTTGGGACAAATGAATGAGACCCAAGACTGCATAATAGCCAACCTTACTGAGCAGCTGCCACTCAGGTGTACAGGCTGTGCAGCTGCCGATGATTGGAATACCTGTGATTGCTGTTGTAGATATTCACAATATACATGCCGATACATGGCCATTTGGGACAAATGAATGAGACCCAAGACTGCATAATAGCCAACCTTGCTGAGCAGCTGCCACTCAGGTGTACAGGCTGTGGAGCTGCCGATGATTGCAATACCTGTGATTCCTGCTGAAGATATTCACGGTATACATGGCCATTTAGGACAAATGAATGAGACCCAAGACTGCATAATAGCCAACCTTACTGTGCAACCTGAGCATGTCTTTGTGAAGCTGGCCCGCTGCATATTGTTAAACAGTGAAAATATGCAGTAAGTACCAATTATAAATCGTTTTTGAAAACACATTATGTCCTTTAAGTGTTAAAAAAAGAAAAAAACAAAATCAGTATGGATCCAGGTAAAAAATTAGTTCAGGAATGATATCGCTGTGTATATTTATAAACCTTAGTAGTTCAGCAACATAAACATTTATTACTAAACCCACAACAGTACAATCAGTCTGTATATGCAGTAAAGCATGCCTGTTATACTCACTGTGGAACCTAAGGGGTTAATCCTCTGCATTGTGTAAAAACACTGTTTGATCCTGACTTCTCTGATCCTCCCCTTCTTCCAGTATCTCCTGATAAGACATATCGTGTGGAGTCACTCTGCACATGCTCAGGTTAATGTGTATTGCTATAGAGGTTTTTTTTTCTTTGGAGAGTGCATGTGATCAGCACAAGGCCAATCAGCAATGTCCAGACAGGTCAGGGGTTCTGCATCCTCCAAGAGCAGAAAGAAAAAACTCCTCCTACAAGCTTTAACCAGTGCTCTGCTGGACACTGATAGAAGTCACAAGACTGCTCTAAGTGCTGATGAGAAAAGGTATTTAGCAGTTTATATTTACTAAAATAATTGCATTTCCATGTTGTGTGTACTGTGGGAGACCAGATATAGTGAATGCAGGGTCCTGGGTTTAGTAACACTTTAAGGCTAGCTTTCGCTAGTGTTGCACTCTGAAGAGGATCTGCATTCAGATTGCTCTTCAGAGAGCATTTGACAGGCAGTGAGGAGGCATTGTGTTGCTTCTTCACCACCAGTTTTAACCACCTTAAACCTTATGCATTGTGTTCTTGCAGGGTACCCCTATTCAGTTGAATGGATTGCGTTCAACAGGTGGCACTGCCCAGTGAACACCACAGGGGATCATTTTTGCTGTGATACAATGCAAAGCTTTATGGCTCCACTCTGCTGCCACATTTTTTTTTAGCACCCCCAAGTACACGAGTGTAAACAATGCCTTAGAATTTAACCACTTCCTGTCCGGCTGTTTATGTGCATGGGCCGGGCGGGCAGTGCAGGAGCGGGTGGCTCTTTATAAACGTCCTCCTCCCTGGGAACACTGATCGCAGTAGGGGACTTCTGTGTGATTCATGTTCCGATTCATGTGATCACTGTTTGGCCAATCAGTGATCCCCCATGAATAGTAGTAAGCAAGATGTCACTTCTGACATCATTGCTTACTACTTGTGAAATCTGTGAATGATCACAGAGGTGACATGGTACAGGGCTATTCACAACAGCCTTGTACCATGTGACAAGCTGTGATCAATCACAACTCTCACGGTATTTCTCAATGGCTGCAAGAATGCAGCCAGAGAGAGGGAGAAATTATTGCTTTTACAGCCTTTATGGGTGTAAAAGCCATCAGTATAAAAAAAGAAAACAAATCTTCATCACCCCCCCACAGGTAGTGGTGATACTGTACTGCTAGTGACGGTATGTTAAAAAAAAATAATTAATATAAAAAAATAAAATGAAAAACGCAAAAAAAAAATTTTAAATTATAATTTTTTGTTTTAAACTATTTTTTTTTTTTTTACTAAAAAGATAGATGAATACATTTTGACCAAGATTTATGAAGAAGGATTATTTGCAAAATTTTATAAGAAAAACACTTTTTTTCAAAATGTTTGGACTTTTTCATTTATATAGCAAAAAAAATTCCAGTGGTGAATAAATACCATCAAAATAAAGCTTTATCTGTCTCAAAAAAATGCTAAAAAATTCATATGGGTACAGTGTTGCATGACCGCGCAATTGTCATTCAAACTGTGATAGCGCTGAAAGCTGAAAATTGGCCTGGACAGGAAGGGGGTGAAAGGGTCCGGACTTGAAGTGGTTAAGAGAGCTGAACCCCCCCCCCCCCCAGGATAAAAAAATATCTACCTTTTGGAGAAGGATCATCTTCCTCACTGGACCATAGCAAACTAAGCAGGAAGTTTGGCCCTGCTCCTTCCCCTGCAGTCTTCTGGGACATTTCACAGGTCCTGGAAGACTACAGGACCAATCACAAAGTACAGCGTGACTTGCTTCACTTATGGTTTCCCCTACTGGCAATGTTGGCGCCGGGAACCCAGAGGCTAGTGAAAAACTAGCCTGGGTGACGATGATACTGGACCCTTGGACAGATAAGTGTCCTTATATTAAAAGTCAGCAACGGTATTTGTAGCTGCTGACTTTTATTTTTTGGGGGGAAGTCTAAAACTCTTCTTTAAAGTTCTTCAAGCAATACATTTCAAAAAGACACCCCCTTAGACTGAGTTATTGTTGGAATACAGTGTTCATGCATTTTATGCAACATTTACATCAGTATTCAGTAGAGATATTTTCTTCAACCAGTAGATGGCAGTGTTTATAAGTTGGTTGCTGCATCTATGGTATACTCTTTTTTTTTCTGAATAAAGTTTCCTGCTTCCTTGTTGCAGTGAAGCAGAAAAGCACACATGGACTGTGCATTGTCTGTTCTGTAGGGCGATATAAAGAATTTCTAACTGTTTACACCTTGCCCATTCTTCTTCCCACCAACATAATCACATGATTTGTTCTAGTATTGTAATAAGAGAAAAAAAAAATGCATCTATTGCATCCCTTAGGACCCTGGGCCAGTATCTCCATACACAGGAAGGACAGTGCTGGGGATCCCTGAGGTTGTAACTGAAGCTTTGTGCAGACATCTATGAAAATCCATGAAATGAGATTCTTGGAGATTCTCTGCATGCAGACACTATACAGTCTGCGTGTTTGCACTGGTACAAATGAGCAGGACTGGGACAAGGGGTGGGCGGAGGGGTTAGTTGCCCTAGGCACAATGATTTGCTCTTCAAGCAATACATTTCAAAAAGACATCCCCCTAGACTGAGTTATTGTTGGAATACAGTGTTCATGTATTTTATGCAACAACTACATCAGTATTCAGTAGAGATATATTCTTCAACCAGTAGATGGCAGCGTTTATAATTATCGCTACATTTATGGCCTTTTCACCAATTAACCACTTGCCTACCAGGCACTTATACCCCCTTATTTACCAGGCCAATTTTCAGCTTTCAGCGCTGCCGCACTTTGATTGACAATTGCGCGGTCATGCAACATTGTACCCATATGAAATTTTGATCATTTTTTTTCTCACAAATAGAGCTTTCTTTTGGTGGTATTTAATCGCCACTGGGCGCTTTACTTTTTGCGCTAAAAATAAAAAAAGTGTAAAAAAATTGAAAAAAAAAAAAAAGTTTCTTTGTTTCTATTATAAAATTTTTCAAACAGGTATTTTTTCTCCTTCACTGATGTGCATTGATGAGGCAGCACTGATGGGCACTGATAGGCGGCACTGATGGGAACTGATAGGCAGCACTAAAGGGCACTGATAGGCAGCACTAAAGGGCACTGATAGGCAGTACTAATGAGGTGGCACGAATAGGCGGCACTGATAGACAGCACTAATGAGGTGTCACGGATAGGCGGCACTAATATGCAGCACTGATAGGCGGCACTGATAGGTGACACTGATGATGGGTACTGATAGACGACACTGACTGGCATCACTGCTGGGCACTGACTGGCGGCACTGACTGGCACAACCCCTGGGGCACACTGACTGGCAGCACTGCTGGGCTGCACTGGTGGGCGGCACTGCTGGGCTGCACTGGTGGGTGGGCACAGGTGGGTGGCACAGGTGGGTGGGCACAGGTGGGTGGGCACAGGTGGGCACAGGTGGGTGGTACTGCTGGGCACAGGTAGGTGGCACTGCAGAGTGGCACAGGTGGGTGCACTGCTGGGCACAGGTGGGTGCACTGCTGGGCACAGGTGGGCGGAGCTAGTGGGTGCACTGCTGGGCACAGGTGGGCGGAACTTGCGGGCGGCACTGCTGGGCACCGATCATCAGGGCACTGATCATCAGTGCCCTGATGATCGGTGCCGATCCCCGCTCTGACAACTGCCGGTTCTTGGCAGTACTTTCCTCACGATCTGACAGCGTGAGGAAAGTGCAGCCGAGAACCGGCACTTGCATTTTCCTCTGATCAGCGTGTCATTGGACACCGCTGATCACGTGGTAAAAGGCCGCTGTGATTGGCCTTTTACCACATCACGTGATCAGCTGTGTCCGTAGGAGATCGCCGGGTGCGCGCCCCCTGGGGCGCGCAGGAGAGCGCGTTCTGGGAGGATGTCATATGACGTCCACCCAGAACTGGCCGGCCGCAGTGCAGCCGTCATTCGGCTATCTGCGGTCGGCTACTAGTTAAAAAGTTTCCTGTTTCCTTGTTGCAGAGAAGCACTAAAGCACATGTGGACTGTGCACTGTCTGTTCTGTAGGGCTATATACAGAATTTCTAAACGTTATCGGAGCTGGTGTGAATAGACTGGTGCTTGTGGTGGTGGGCAGCCATACTTATAGGGAAGAGCCAGCTATTACCAGCGGTCCCTGTGGGGGTAGCACTAAATGTTGATAGAAACACAGTTTCTAAATTTTTAATGCAAAACATTTAGGATTATTTTTATCATGATCAGCTCCTTAAAAAAAAATTAAATATAATAGATTTCCTTTTAGGTTGACCAAAACTCCAAAGTAAAGATTTGTTATGTTATAGGCAACATCTAGAAAGGTTAATTCTGCCAAAGTAGCACCATAAAAAATCTACATGTTGGGCTCTGTTCACGAAGATGGATGTGCTATTTTACAACGACTTAGATTATCTCACAATAATCTTCTAACATGTTCAATTTACAGACTTTACAGACTTAAATGCCAAAAAAATGTGTAATCCTTATTTTTCCACATGAAAGAAAAAACTAATGGTTGAAAGATTACTAGTGTGTTATTTTATTACCACCTCAAATAGCTCCTTTATCTGCTTTCCTCCATGAACACCTTCAGAACCTCAAAGTTATCACCAGACTGAAGTTGGTGTTAATTTAGGGAGTGATAACCCGTGCATCAACCTATGTAAATGAACTTTTACATTGATTTTATCATAAAGGATTATACAACACCACCGACTTTGTTATAATTGCACCAGTAGTGGTAGAATACTGCAACTTATAGAGTGAGTTAAATATAGAGATCCAAGTGAAGTAATAAGAAATTACTGAGTGAACAGAAGAAAAACACATTTTTTTGAATTGTTCCATTTTCCTTGAATTCTGATCAACAGCAGTGAACTTCCTATTTCAACAACTTCAAAGCTCCATGTTTGTGCAGCTTTCATTTGTTGTGTATTATTCTGCATGCATGTGTGTTCTTTGCCATTCTGACTCTGTTCTGCGTTATTACTTCTAACTTTGCACCTATTTAGTAAACTTCAGTTACTCTCTGTTTGATCATTTGGCTGGTTACCTATTCTGTTAAAGCGGGTTATCTGTAGTGCAAAATCATCTAATGCTCTATGCCTGTAACTGCTAGTTTCTAGAAATTTGGAGCGAGATTTGATGTTCTCCTTGATGGAAAGGAAGCTGTACCTGAAGACCTGCAGTGCAAGACTTTTCCTGCTTCAACTTCATTCATTCTGTGTATCTATGCTTTGCCCACATCTCCAGCTGCTTCATGAATATTATCCCTCCAGTCATCAGGGG